TTATTCACCTCTCTGAGGAAGGTTGTGGTGTTCGTTAAAGGAGCATGGTGGTTGGTGGTAGTTTGTGAGGAAAGCTTTTGGGGAAAGAAAGGGAGCCAAACTACAGTGAAGGCCCTTCCTATGTCAGAAAGATGGGAGGGGGTGGGGGAGAAACATACCAAAGCACATGGAGAGCAAGATTCAAGTAGCACTTTTTAAAGACCAGCAAGACTTCCAGACTATAAGCTTTTGAGGGTCAGAACTCCCTTCGTCAGGTATCTGACTTAAAGGTGCTTTGATTCTTGAAAAACGTATACCCTGGAAACGTTGGTTTTTAAGGTGCTACTGGACTCGAATCTTGCTCTTCTCCTGCAGACCAACACGGCTACCCACATGAAAGGTTCAAACCGGGCTGCAAGAGAAGCCGGCCCAAGATCAGTTGGGTTGGTGGGGAGTTGAGAGTTCTTCGCTGGTGCAGCTCTCTGCTGCTGGGCAGCAAGAGAGGGCGGCCCAGCTGGGACTGGCTCAGCCCTGTAGCTAGGGATTTTGGGGTAAGGGGGCCTCGGGGGGTACAGCTAATTAAATCAAAGCTAATAATAACATTAATTCAATTTGGGGCCAGCCCAGAAAGGAGGGGGCCCGGAAGAAATGCTAGGGGGGCGGGCCCCGTGGGCCCCACATCAGCTACGGGTCTGGACTGGCTGTGCCTGTGGGGAGCCAATCACCCTCCTCCCTGCCAGCACAGCTCTGTGCTGCCTTCTCCTGCCGCTCGGTGTAAACTGGGCAACAGGAAAAGCCAAGCCAGCCCCAGGATCGGGCTGGTATTTTTTTATTGCCATTTTTTGGTTTTGGTCTATTGGACCCGAAAAGTTTTGGGATATCTGAAGAATCCTGGATCCGAATACCATACCGGTATTTGGATCTAGGATTTTTCAGGAATCCTGAAATTTTTCGGGTCCAGTAAACCTGAACCGAAAAATACCGGTTAAAAAAAATTGCTCACCCCTAGTCCTCAAGTGAGGTCTGGCTCTGCTCAAGTGAGGACTAGCATCTTTACTCTGAACAGATGGTGCGAATGGCACAATGGTTAGACATCCAGATAATGTCCATGGACGCTAGACTCCGTGACATGATCCTAGGTTGACTCTATCCTGATACTCCAGGGATTGTGGCCTTCCTGCTTCTAGAGGGAATCCTAGAGATGGCAAAATCGGTTTGGGATTTTCCATTCCGTCTTCCATTCCTGCCACATCTAGAAAAGTCGAGAATATGTACAGGGTTCAGCAAGAGGGCTGCCCCTTCCTTTTCACCCATCCCTAATAGCTGAAGAGATACAGGATCCCATTCCACCCCAGCTGATAAAGAGGGCAGGAAGACTGACACGTTGAGCCATAAAGCTTATTCATTGTCATCTTTAAACCTCAGAATAGCTAACTATCAAGCTATTATGGCAGCATACCAACTTTTTTTTATGGGAGAAGATCACTCCTTATCTAGACCAGCTTCCTCGTGATAAAAAGTCAAAGGCTTCCAAACAGAAGCACTCAGGCTGTTGAAACAACAGTTGAATGCAGGCAGACATGCAGCCAATCCTTCAGTGTGCACAATGGCTTCATCTATAATCCTTAGAAGACATGCTTGACTATGGTCAACCACTCTTCCTCCTGAAACACAGGCTAATGTAGAGGACTTACCCTTTGAGGTCTTTTCGTTGTTCTCATCTAAGTCTGATGAGTCCCTCCAGCAAATCAAGAAAAATTGCCAAACAGCTTGTTCCTTTGGGGTAACCCAAGCCCTTGCCCCTTCATACAGGCCTACATATCATTCGAGTTTTCAGCCATTTTACCAGGGTTTCCAGCGTCCTTACCAACAACAGAACTACCAGTATCCTCAACAAAGGTCCTCCCAACCTCCCCTGCATAACGATGCAGATCTGACTCGAGGCCCAGGTCTGGCTCTGCTCAACACCAGCCTTCAAAGGGACCCATCCAAGCTTCTAAGCCTTCCTTCTCACTAGCACCGGCTGACCATTCATCTCACCCTTCCTTTTGGGAAGGTTCGTCCAAGTTCCTGCCAGAACGACACAAAATTACCTCAGATTCCTGGGTGTTGTCCATTGTTGAAAAGGGTTATCGCTTAGAGTCTGCACACATCCTTCCCTCCTATCCCGCTGTGAGCTCTTCTGTTATCCAAAAAATAATATTCTCTGACTCAGAACTGAGGGAGAGTGCAGAGCCCCTCCCCGGAGCATGTGATTGTTGGGTGGGAAAATGGCCTTAACAGCTCCCGTTGGGAGGGGCTGCTCCTACTCTGTTACTAAACTAGGTAAAAAATATTCAGGGCGGCTGGTCTCACGCCTGCACAGTGACAACTCAATTAACAACACTTACAGGTAAGTGCAACACTGTTTTCCTTGGAGAAAAATGGGTAAACTTCCCCAAATAAATTTTGACAAAACCTCCAGAGTGAACAGTGATGATTTAACAGTAATTCCATCTCAAGTCGCTGAGGAGACCTGCAGACGCCTCCTTTGGGTTCCACCATCCCTCAGAGGACCCAGGAGAGAGGGCAAAACGACCCATTCCACCAAAGGCAGTTAAGGACAGCACTGTTAGCCATTTTGTAAGTCACCTTGAGAATTTTTTGAGTTTGAAAAGTCATTAATAAACGTATAAAATGAATGCATGAACGACTGGTCCTTCTCACATATAGATTTGGCATTGCAATGAAGTACATGATGGTTAGTTATGGATGAGAAAATTTGTTGGATTCTAAACTGATAACAATTTACGTATGTTGTCTGCTTTATTACACTGTAGGTGACACTGAACCCCTCTTCTGTGAGAGAAGGTTTCCCCCCCCCCCAATAGAAGGCAATAATGGCCTTGCTTCCTATGTCTGAGCTTTACCTGACAAAGCCCTGGAACTGAGCCAGTTGCTGCTGCTTTGAAGGCAAAGCAAGCCTTTGATATCAGTGGCTTTGATTACATTGAAGGGACATTTAGTAGAACCTATATGCACATTCTGATTGTTCTCTGTAACAAAACAGATTAGCATAAGAAAACATTAAGTAACAAGGACATTTTGAGAATAGTTAACTTTGTAGTTTTGGTTTCTGTTCTGTCAATCTAATCTTGGCATATCTACAGTGGCTCCCAGTTTGTTTCCAGGCCCAGTTCAAAGTGCTGGCGTTAAATCTTAAAGCCCCATGTAGTCTGGGACCAGCTTATCTGATGGACCGCCTACTCCCATGCATACCTGCCTGGCCACTACAATAATCTTCTGAGACTCTGCTGTGGTGGCCCCAGCTTCAGAGATTAGGCGGGTGGCAACCTGAGGGCCTTCTTGGTCATGGCACCAAAACTGGGGGGAAAAAAACCCTCCCATATATTTGTCTGTTCCCCCGTCTGTCATTATCTTCTGCCAGTGAGTGGAGACTTTGCTATCATCTGTTGTTCGTTCAATTATCCCTCCGTGTTGTCCTGTGTTTAAATTACTGTTTTTCTGCTTTTTTGCATATGTATTTTAGTTTTGGTTTTAATCATTTCAGTATGTTTTTATAATACTTTGTTTTAACTTTAGTTCTTATTGGGTAGAAAGGTGGGGTTCAAATTTTATAAATAAAATAAATATAAGGTTTCTTAAAAAAAAAATCTTAACATAGTTGCTAATATCT